CTTCAGCCACCAAGACCACGGACAGTTCTCCATCTCCTGCCTCTGGGAGGGAGGCCCCATAGCACCTCGGAGCAGAAGAACTGCTCCTGAGACGGACTTGTGTGCTTCTCTTGCTCCGGCCGCGGGTCTGTAATAAGCTCTCCACAGGGAGAGGCTCGCAGTAGGAGTGCCACATGGCACAACTCCAGGGGTGCCATTTCCACAGCCCAGGGTGCCTTGGTCCCTGGAGCTGCCGCCGTCAGCTCACTTCCTCACTGACTGGCCACAGGCCCTCAGTGCTCCACTGCCCTGCCCAGCAGCCCCTCTGGGGCTTGCCCTGACTGGAGGCCTGCCCACTCCAGGCCTTGTGGCATCTGAAGTCCAAACTTGAGTCTGACTGACAGCTGGATCCCGGGCAGCCTGCATGTCTGGAATTCTTCCCAGGAAAAGCCCCACGTACAGCCCTGTAAATCAATAAGCAAATTAATAAGCAAATACTGTTGTCTGCTGATCCGAGCTGGGACTCCCGGGCAAACGGCTTTCAAATCCAAACCAACAGCAGACGGCCCCAGGGCGTGCTGGGAACCGGTGCGCCTTTTGGGTGGAATTTTCAAAGCCTGTTTCTCCCACGACTAGAAACAAGATCGGGGGCCGGGCCAGCAGGGAGCAGTGAGGGGACCAGGCTGCCGCAGAGGAACAGGCCTTTCCACCGAGTGTCATCTGTCGTCCTCATCAGCTCCAGCCATCTGTTCCCTGCCGAGAGCAGGGCTTGGTGCACAGCCAGAGGAGCTTTGTTCTGGGTACCACGGGTGACGATGGGGGTGACAAAGCCGCCCCGAATCACCGGAGGCACCAATTAAGGGAGTTGGCCCTTTATTGCTGACTTGCAGTTACATGCAGCTGCTTCTGCGCACTTCTCCGTGGGGCCTGCAAAGAGTGAGGCCAGGTGGATGCAGGTGACCGTGGCAGGGAGCAGACCCCTGTGGATGTCACTGCCATCACCCCATTTGTGAGAAAATAGGCAAGGAGGGTGTCTGGGCCTGGGGAAGACCGTAACTCCAGCTCTGAGCAGCTGACACCACGTCCTCCAGTCCAGGAGGCTCTGGCAGGAATCTCAAGCAGCTCCCTCCGCTCGCCTCCACCCCCCCTCCGCCCACCGGCAAGCAAAGCCCACCCTTCAGTGCCCAGCTGCCAGGGTCGGGATGCAAACAGAAATGCCTGGACGGCTGAAAATAAACTCGAGCTAGACCTCGGGAGACTTCAGCCAGGGGGTCTGCGGAGCCCTTTTCTGAAAGGGCCTCCTGAATGCCTGCATCTTCTCTTTTGTGCTCACAAATGCCACCCAATCGCAGAAGCCGCCACCAAGGCTGAATTACAAGGCAGAGAGTGTCTGCCTGGGGCGCTGGCCTCTGGGCTGTCTGCCAGGGCTGTCAGGCTGCCTAGACTTCAATACCAACAGAGTTAAGGAGCAAGAAAACAGCTCCAGTACAGGCTCAGAAGCTGGGGAGGGAAATGACCTGTCTTGTGAGGCGACAGAGGTCAGCCTTCCCGGGGCACTCTGACACGAGGCCGCCTGCAGGCCCGTTCGGTGGCTCTCTTCGGGGGCTCTCTTCGGCGGGTGGGCACTGATGGGGCCAGTAGTCGGAGAAGCTGCCTTGTAAGCGCTGCCCTGTCTGGCTGCCCGTGGCTCGTGGTGCTAATGAGCCTGGACCCACTCTTTCTTTTGTAGCCTCTGGGAGGGGTCTTGTCAAGCTGCTGTACCTCTCAGCAAACACTCCTCAGAAGGGGGGGAAGACATCAGCCCCAAACACCCTGGGTACTTAGAGCATTCTGATCATGAAATGCATGTGCTGGAAAACCGCCGACGACTCTCTGGGAGCCCACAGAATGACAGGGGCTTAAGACTTGGGAAAATTTAGCTTAAGGTAAATAGTCATAAATCTAGCAAGTAATGTGTATGTTAAGTTTTTGTTTCAGTAACTACAGATAAGGCCTATCTTGGCGCCTAAGAGTAAGCAGATGACTTCTTGGAGACGTGTGTACCAGGAAGAAGCAAGCGACTACCCTTCCCCCTTGGAGGCAACTGTTGAATTTCAAAGGCTTTCGCTGACACCTTGTTTGCCCTCCCCCAACCCTCTTAGAAAAGATCTGGCTGGGAAAGAGAGAGGAAGATGGTTTTGTTAGGGTATGAACCCGTCATCTTCTCAGATCGCCGGGCCATCTGAATAAAGTGCCTATAAAAGATTCAATCACTGTCATTGTTTATTGGATTTGGTAGTGACAGGCAGCCCAAACACCGGTGTCTTTTCCGGTTACAAGAACAATGTCAACACTTTTGAAAGTACCAACATTTGAGAATAGGCCCAAGTCTGCTTCCTGAGGCCAAGGGAGGCCGCACGCTGTGGGTCAGAGCCAGACCCCTGGTCAGATTCTGGTTCCACCCCTAGTTCTAGCTGTGCAGGCCTGGGTGAGTCTCTTCCTTCTCCGTCCTCAGTTTCCTCCTGTGCAACATGAAAGTAAAAACAGCGCCAGTGCTCACAGAGTTGTTGTGGGGATCAGATGAGTTAACCATAGCAAGTGCCCAGAGCGGCTCCCAGCGTGTACGGAGTGTCACTCATTGTTATTCCGAGAGAACTAGGTGGCTGGGCCTCTTCTGGCAGCAGGGCGCCCTGGGCCGTGGGGACAGCAGAGAGCAGAGTGAGAAGGGGGTGAAGGGAGAGAAGCGGCCCTGACACCTCGGGCGGCTCCAGCCTCCTGGGTTGATGACTGAAGAAAAGTGGGAAACTCCTGGGCCCAGGCACTCAGTGATTTACCTACACACAGATGTTCTAATCCTAAGGGTATAGTTTGATCAGATTTTAAATATGTGTCAACTTTATAATCACCGTGCAGTTCAAGATAACATTTCTATCCCCCAAAATGTTCCTTCAGGGACAGTGGCCTTTAATAAAGTCTTCATCAGAACCGAGAGCCCACACCCCAAGAGGGGATGAAATAATCTATTGGGGTACCTTCTGTTCATTATATCCATTTTATCCCTTTCAGTTTTTCTTTTTGTGTGTACTTTATAATATACATATTAGGGCCTCGCTGCTGTGGCTCAGTGCATTGAGTGCCAGGCTTCGAATCAAAGGGTCACCAGTTCTATTCTCAGTCAGGGCACATGCCTGGGTTGCAGGCCAGGTCCCCAGTAGGGGGCGCTCAAGAGGCAACCACACCTTCATGTCTTTCTCCGTCTCTCTCTCCCTTCTCCCCTCTAAAAATAAATAAATAAAATCTTAAAAAATAATAATAATAAACATTAGCACATTTGTGCCTGCTTGATAACCAGTGCCTGCCCAGGCCCCTGAGTGAGGAAGGGGTCACAGGAAACACCTGAGGCAACGAGCCCAGAAGGAGGCCGTGCAGGAAGCATGTGCAAGGCAGGTGAGGATCCCTCCTCCTCCCTTCCGAACGCAGTGGCAAGGGGAGGTGCTGACCTGCCAAATCTAGCCTGGGAAAAGGACAGGATTGGCTGGGGAGCTGAACTTTTCTAGAGAGTGAGGAATTTTGGATTGGTAGATTTAAGTGGAGGGAAGGGAGAAACACACGCCCTTTTCTTTCCCTTGCCCTCCCTGTTGGGGCCGGGGCACCCACAGACCAGCGAGTCCTAGAGGCTGCACGGCCAGGGGGCAGGCCCTGGACCCCCTGCTCTGGAAGGGGCGGCAATGGCCGGCTGCACAGGTTGCACTCGTACAGACTCCAGGAAGGAACCTGAACCAGACTGCTACCAGTAGCAAGCTGAGCCGCCTGGGTGATCGTGGAGTGGCTGCCTGCGGTTCGCAGTGGATGGCAGATTTGTGTGAGAGAAGGAACTCTGGATACAGCCCTGGACTGGTCTGGCAGAGGGTGGCGGGGTTTTTCTCTGGCTGTTCTAGAGGGGATGGACTCCGGGGCAGAAGCCTGCCATTCTTCCAAAACTGTGTAGCTTCTGAATAAAAGACCCTTTTCCTTTTTCACCAAATCTCTGCCTCCAGAATTGCCTATGGGCTGTGGGCAGCAGAACCCCATTCCCGTTCAGTAACATGTTTAGGATTTATTAAAAACTAAACATACTTTTGCTGGAGACAGGAGCTGAATACCTTCTGTTCATCCCTGGGGCCCTTTGCCCGCCTCCCTCACCTGCCCTGGGGGTTCAGGCAGGAACAGGCTAATGGAAGGGCTGCACGGAGGAAAGTGCAACCAGGGAATTTACTCCAGTGGCTCCCTCAGGTGGCTGGGGCCCTCACTGGGAAGCTCCCCACGGTTTGGCTCCTCCCTCCAAATTTTGATGACCACTCCATTCCCACCCTGTGGACTGCGGGCTGGTCACAGCTCTGCTCGCTGCACGGTTCCTTGTGGCTCCTCTATGCCCATCCCTTTATAAGGAGTCCTTTGTAAATAAGCCTCCTTGGCTTCATTTAAATGTGACATCTGTTTCCTGCTGGGACCCTGACTGATACAGAGGTGCATCCTCAAAAATGTTTTATCCACTGGGGTGTGTGATCAAAATATTTGGGGATCATAGTTCACTGCACAGTATGTCCATTTGCATTGTCCATTTGCGGTTCGGTCGGTGCCCTGGAACCTGGGCCCGTCAGGGCGGTCTTTCTCTTCCTGGGAGAAGCGAAGGCAGCAATTTTCAGCGTTTGCTCTCTGCACCCAGCCTGGAAGCAGCAGGCGTTTAGAATGTCTGCTTTATGAGGAGATGAAGTTGACTACATTCCCATCGGTGGCCCACCAGGGGTCCGTCTGTTCCAGGGACCCATGGCCAGGGAGTGGTGTCAGGTCATCCTGCTCACAAAGGCAGCCCCCTCTATCCCTGTTTCCTGTTGGTGATTCAGCTGTTTCTCAAGCAGCCAGTACTCCATTTGTTCAGGGACCTGGGAGCAATGAGATGACAGCCTCACCCTGGATAATGCAAGGAGAGTTTAATAGTTTGTTTACTGAGGTGTAGGCAGGGTTAGGGCAGCTGACAGGGCCCTTGCAGTACTCCGGGGCTAGCGAGAGCGGGGAGCCTGCGGAGAGAGCAGCAGTGTGGACAGGGCTGCCTGCCCAAGGGTAACTGTGGGTGGAGGGAACAGCCAAGCCCTGGTGACCTGGCAAGGAGGGAGCTAAGGTAATAAATTCCCTGTCCTCACTCCTCTCCTTTCCCCCCAAACCAGAGCCCTCAGGGCTCAGGGTGTTGGCAGGCTGGGTCTGGGTCTGGACAGAGGCACAGCGCGGGGAACGACCTGACCGACTGTTTTTGGAAAGGCCTTCCTGTCCCTGGGCCCTCAGAGACAACCTCAGCTCAGCTTCACAAAACCCGAGGTGAGTGGTGAGAAGTTAGCAAGGCTGGAGGAGGGAGCTGGGGAGGGGAGGGATCCAGGCACTCGTGAAATGTCAGAGGAAGAAGTCTGAGCTTTCTCCCAGGCAGACCTGGGTAGGCAGCCCTAGCAGTGATCCAGCTAACTGTAGGCCCGAGCCACCACCGCCACAGAGGGGAATCCGGGAAGGAGCTGGGAAGAGGGCGTGCTGGCTCTCTGATCCCTCGCAAACTCAGAGACGTGAGGGAGACTGAGGCCACAGATGAAAACACCGGTGCCTCCAGCAAACCTGTGAGGAAGAGCTCCCGTGTCTTTGCTCACTGCAAAGTACACACGTCAGGTTCTGGCTTTCTCTCCAGAGCTGGGGGTTCTGGCGTTTATGGCTCTGAATAAGAGAAGGGAAGCCAGCAGAGCAGCAGGGAGGGAGGTTTCTCTCTCTCCTCTCTGGGAAAGCTCAGACGCCCCAGGCCCGTCTCTGCATCTGTCTGCGTAGCTCCAGGCAGCTCCCCACATTTCTCTGGGCCCCAGTGTCCTCATCTGGAAGGTGGTAATAACAGCACCCGCCCAGTGAGGTCCGGGGACGAGTGATTGTGACAGCGCCTGTGACAGCGTATGTTCCTCCCCAGAAGAAATGGGGGATGGTGGGCAAGTGCCATGTTATGGCATACCCAAAAGGAATAATTGTCTCCAAAAGTGTCTCCTTGATAAAACAGGACCTTCTCCTAAGGGTTTACTGAGTGTGTCTCCTCGGGCCCAGCCTTGGGGACTGCCCTGGAGCAGGGACGGGATGGAGACCAAACACACAGGAAACGGCTGAGAACTCTGGGAGGGAAACACTATCAGTGTACAGGAATTCCAGGGAGGGGGAAATTGGGCTGGAGGAGACAGGGTGTGTGGCCAAGGAGCGCTGTTCAATCGGAATTCCAGGGGAGATGAGTCACCGAGGCAGAAGGCAGAGCCTGGAACGGAGGAGCATCGCCCAGGAGGGAGGCAGGGCGGGGGAGATCTCTGTGAGCTGGCAGGAAGGGCCAGACACAGGGCCTGGAGTCCATGCTCTCACACCCCACACCCTGGGTCTCAACAACCACAGACGCGGAGACCCTAGCCCAGAGAAGCCCTTCCAAGCCCCACCTCTCTTGCTGTCTTTCCAAAACCTGCTCTGAGCAAAGCCCCACCCCTGAATCAGTCCAGAAGTTTGCTTTGATTCTTTAAAAAATTTTATTTTGTCCTCATCCAAGGCCATTTTTTTTATTGTTTTGGGGGGAAGGGAGAGAAACACTCATGTGAGAGAGAAATATCAATCAGTTGCCTCTTGTACACGCCCCAACCAGGAGCTGAACCTGCAACTTAGGCATGTGCTCTGGCTGGGAATCGAACCTGTGACCATTGGTGTACAGGATGATACTCCAACCCACGCCAGCCGGGGCTACTTTTATTCTTTAGGCTGCCAAAGTCAGCAGGAGAAAACGACACCTTCCTGTCAGTCCTGGAGTCCCTACAAATTCATTCACTCAACAAATATTTATTGAACGTCTATATTCATTATTGTAGGCCCTGAGGGATACATCAGTGAATAAAATGGAGCTACATTCTGGTGGAGAGAGACCATAAACAAAATAAATTTAAAAATATATATAGTAAACGCTATGCAGAAAAAAAGGAGAATAAGGAAGACTTAGGAGGGACTTCAATCTTAGGAGAAGACTTCAATCTGAAGACAGTTACCAGAGAAGATCTCATTTAAAAGGCGACTTCTGAGTAAAGACCTGAAGGAGGTGAGAGAGGACATCATTTAGGTGCCTGGAGGGAGAGAGTACTCCAGGCAGGGCAACAGCAGGCACAAAGGCCCTGAGGCGGGAAGGCGCCTGGCACGTCTGACCAACAACAGCAAAAGGCCAGTGTAGCTGGGGTAGGGTGAGGAAGTCAAAGTAGAAAGAGGTGACGGCAGAGAGTGAGTGGGGGATCCAGTGTGGAGGACCTTTTAGGCCATTATAAGAGCTTCATTCTCTACTGGACCCTCCACACTGTGCTTAGTTTCCCTCTTTCTAAACATACTAATTATTTCAAAATTTCAAATCCTGTGTGCCAGTTGGGATGTATTTGGATGCAAGTAACAGAAAAACCAAATGGCAGTGGCTCAAATCATAAGTATATACATTGGTTCCAGACAAGTGTCTGAAGGCAGTGGACTCCGAAGCTAGTTTAGCAGTTCACAGATGTCATGAAGGGCCAAGACTCTCCCTGTTCTTTCATTCTCCATCCTCAGTGTGTCTCCTCATGGTGACAAGATTGCTTCTGGAGCTCCAAGCCTCACACTCCCTCCCAAAAGCTTCCCAAGTAGAAATAAAGGTGTCAGGCAGACAAAAATATATGTGTAGAGTGAGAGGACAGGGAGAATTTCTCCTCACACATGTCTCTTATCACGGAGGAAAACAGTTTTCTAGAAGAACTAACAGACTCTGCCTTGTGTCTCATTGGCCATTGGAGTCACATGTCTACTCTTATGCTAATCAGTGGCAGAGGGGTACAGACAGTCATAACTGATTTGTACCGATTATGACATCTTGGGGCTGAGCACATTGACTCCTGGAGGAAACTGGGGCTCTTCTAGCAAGGGAGGGGAAGTGCTGTGGGTTACGTGATAGGCAGTGTCTGCCATGCCCATCCCAATCCCCACTGCACCCCTTTTGTAACACAAAGAAAACAAAGACCTTCAGGCTCCCTCAAGCAGCCGCCTGCCCTCCCACCTCATCTGTAGTCCCCCCAGGGCTACTGCTCCACTGAACTCACCATTGTTCTTCCCAAATCAGCAAATCTGCCTGGCGTTCCTGTCCCAGCAGAGGGCAAACCATCCATTGGTCCGAGGCAGAAAGGTGGGTGGCTTCTTGGATTCTCCCCCTCACTTACTCTCCACATCCCTTTATAAATCACCTTCTTCATAGCTCTTCAGAATGTGACCTCCTTTCCATTCTCCCTGTGACTGCTTTGGCTCAGCCCTGGGCCACTACCACAGCCTCTCACCCTGGTTCCTGCGTGCAGTTTCAACTCTCTTCCAGACCAGGCCTGGGAGTAGAGTGAGGTGAGTGAGGCGCTGGGCAGGCAAAATGTAAGGAGGTGCTGGGGCACAGGGCCGTGTTGCGGCTCTGCTCCTCGCCATCTGCAACCAGGCCGATGCTCCTAAAACACAAGTGTGATCATGATGCCACTCAAGCTCAGAACTGCCCAAGAGCTCCTCTCTGTCTTGGTAAGAAATCAAACTTTTTAGAATAATCTAGAGACTCCATCTGTCCTGCCAGCCTCTTCTCCCTGCTTCCCCCTTCCTCGTGCATTTCATGCCTCATTCATTCTAGTCTCCCTCTGCTGCCAGCTTTGCATCCTGGGGCCTGGGCCTGGAACACTCTTTACCCATTCCCTGTGTTGCCCTAACTCATTTTTTTTCTATTATGAAATATTTAGGACCTAATGAAAGCTACAAATAGTAATGCATTTAATATCCTTGTGCTGCCACCATCATTCAACTTGAGAAATAAAATATTACCAAACAGTAGAAGGCCCCTGGCACCCATCCCCATTCACACGCATCTCCCCATTTACTGGGACGATCACCATCCTTCTTATGACGTGTACAATTTACACAGCATTGGTTTCAAGAGTTAAACAATGTATTGTATTGTTCTGAATATTATGAATGTTTTTTAAGCTTTAGGGAGTCCTGGCTGAGTAGCACAGTTGGTTAGAGTATCATCCCAATAGGCCACAGTGCAAGCTCAATCTCTGGTCAGGGCATATACTAGCAACCAATGACTGCATAAATAAGTGGAACAACAAGTTGATGTCTCTCTCCTCTCTTCTCTCCCTCTCTCCCCCTTCCTCTCTCTCAAAAAATCAATAAATAGAGATTTTTTAAATTAAATAAAATTTAGGTAAATAGTGTCATATGGGTTGCATTCTTCTGCAACTTGCTTTTTCATACATTATATTTGTGAGATTTATTCATGTTGATGTATGTAGCTCTAGATCACAGGTCAGCAAACTGTCCTGGAATGGACAAATAATAAATATTTTAAACTTTATGGGCACAACAGTCTGTTGCAACTACTCAACCCTGCCATTACAGTGTGAAAGCAGCCACAGATGATACGTAAATGAGTAAACGTGACCGTGTTCCAATACCATTTTAATTACAGAAACAGGCAGCAAGCTGGAGAACATATCCCTGCCCCATTAACTTTGGGTCTGGCCTAACAGAATTTGACCAACAGAATGCTAGAGAATGTGATGCATGCAAAGAGAGGTTTTAAATGTACCTGAATGGTTTAGCTTAGCCTGTCGCAGTCTTGCCATTTGCCATGAAAAGAGCATGCACCCAGCAAGTTGTTGTCTCTTTGGCCTGAGTCCCCAAATGAGAGTCACATGGAGCAGAGTGGACCTAAGCAGAATCACCTCAAATAACCTAAAATCTTGTGAGCAAATTAAATGTTTCATGTCACTGAGATTTTTTTATGATTACTTGTTACACAGAGTTATTATTGCAGTAGCTAACTAATACAATGAACATTTCAGTTGTTTCTAATTCTTTGGTATTGTAACAATGTGCATGCTTGCAGTATTTCAACTGGTGCATCAGTGCATCTACAAATTTTCTAGTTAATGCTGATATGTTTTCTGAAGTTTGGTACCAGTCTACACTCCACCAGCAGTGTCTCAGTTTCCATGGTTGCACATCCTTGTCAACACTTGGTTTTGTCAGATGTCTGCTGATCTAATGGGTGTGAAATTGCATTGCCTATCTAACTCGTGCGCATCTTTCCCTTTCTCTGAACCTCCTTCCCTCACTCCCCAGTCTGAACTAGCTCCACATTTTCAGTGTAAGCAGAGCTCCTTATGCTTGCCTCTCTCACAGTACTGGTAACCTGGTTTTGTATCTATCTTTCAGTCCATCACCAAACAGAGAGCCCCTGTCCTCCAGCCCTAGTATAGAGCTCAGCACATAGCGGGCACTTAGTAAATAATTGTTGAACAAAGGTTGGATGAGAAACCTTAATCACACTGGTCGCCTCCTGCCATAGGGGAATGTACAAGCCAAGACAACTAACTCATCACAGGGATGATACAAACACACCAAGGTGGGTGAAAGGTCAGAGACTCGTTGCTTTTCACACAGGCATCTGACTTGGGCTTTGAAATGGTACTTGTTTTTATGCTAAAATGAGATCAGGCCCAGGTGGGTCTCAGGAGACTAGCAGGAGCTAGAGAAGTGAATGAAAACTAAACCCTAAGGATCTGGGGATGTTTTGTGGGCAAATGCAATCTAAAAAAAGCAGGCAGTAGCAAATAGCCAGCATTTGTTGCACACTGTTCTAAGCACTTTACACATATTTAGAGCCTGCCAACAACCCTATGGGGGTAAATATCAGAGGAGGAAAATGAGAAAAGCAACTTGCCTAAGATACACAGCCCGTGAGTGGAGGGCCGGGACTGGTTTGAACTCAGGCAGTCTGGCTGCAGGGCCCGAACTTTTCAATCACCATTCTCTGCTGCTGCTCTGAAAATCATCACACACACCTCAAGGCAATTACTTCAGAGATCAAGGAACTTGGCACCTCCCAGAGATTTCTTCCCTGAGGCACCGAGAACCTCTCTGGATGCTGTGGTTTTGTTTGGTATATCCAAGATCAGATCCAAAGGTCAGAGTTCTGAGAGATCCTTGAGAAGGGCATCTCTGCTGCCAGCAGCGCGATTGAAAGAAAACAGGTCTGGAGCCAGAAGACTTTGGTTTTAACCCAAGCTCAGCCACAGTCTTAGTTTAGGTTATTTTTGTTGAGAGAAAAAAAATTTTTTATAACTTCAAAACTCCTCAAATGAAGAGAAAAGCTGCACTATAGGGGATGGGCGGTATTGGTGGGACACCAAAGGACTGAACCAAGATTCAAACCACCTTCAAAATTTGATAGGACCTTGCATTCATTCTGTGCCTTTCTCTCTAAGACCAGCATCTCACTCCAGGGTCAAATTCTTAGAAGATGAAATCTGATTGGCCTAGCTGCAGTTAGGTGTTTTTCCTCCAGCCCAATCAACTGTGATGAGGGAGGTGCCATCAAACACCTCAGGAAAGTGGGGGCCATGGTGAGCCAGGTGGATATCCCCAGAAGGTATCTAACAACATTACTAATTCACTGTTGACCTTAGCAAAGCCATCTTCCTTCCTGGGATTCAGTTTTCTCCTTCATAAAATGAGAGATTGATCTTTGTCTTGTTCCCCTTTACATCCACTATGCCTGGCATATTAGATGTTTAACATATGTTTGTTGAATTAATGAGTGGACTAGAACAATCACTATATCACATTCTGATAGTCTATCTTTGAGAATTCTCATACGTGAGCAGTGTGGGTGCTGGGAGCTGACAGTGAGGAAGAGGAGGGAGAGAAGGGCAGACAGACACTTGTGCCCCAGGAAGCCAATTTAAGCAGTCATTTCTCTGGGCATCTTTCTAGTGCCGATCCTCTGTCCTCACCAAGAAGCCTTCTGTATGGAATGTGGCTTCTCTAATCTAATGGACTCTGTCCCTAGAGAGACAGTGACCTTTATCAGCTGTTAAGTTGGCTTCCTGAAAATAGCCAGCACAGTGTTAACGTGGTCCAAAGGAGAGGATTTGAATCCAATGTCTAGAATCCAGACTCTTTCACATATTACGTGACCTGGGTGGGTCACTTACCCCTCCAGACATCAGAGTCTTCACTGACCAAACAGATGTGAGCATATTTGTTCGGCCTCATTTGTAGTGGTGCTTGAGGGATATTGATTGCTAAATAAATTGAACTACATTTATGGTGTGCTAAGATTTTTATTTTGTATAATCCACGCAAGAATTTTATCCCCATTTTACAGATGACAAAAAAACGAGGCTCAGATGTTAAGTACTTGCCTAAGGGCACATCGTTGATGAGCAACAGAGTCGGGTGGCACACTCTAAACCCCAAGCCCTACTGCCTTTGGTGATGGCCCAGCCATGAAAAGACGCTTGATGATGAGGCAGTAGTTATTGTTGTTGCTCCCAGCATGTAGGCCCCCTTCGATAAGCTAAACATTAAGGTTCCAGACCCATGGACCTATAAGACCCAAATAGATTCCAGAGAAGCAGAATTTGGGGGTTTATTTCCTCTGGGAAAAAAAATCAGTCTAAAAACTACATGAATTAAGAAATCTTTGGGCTATCAGTGAAAAAAAAAACAGCTCAAACTAGCTTACTCAAAAAAGGGGATTTACTGGCCTTCATCCTGGGAAGGGCAAATGTTAGGCACCTGCCAGCTGAGCTCCAAACACCTGTAGGCACTCTCCCTCTCAGGGGCTCTCAGAGCTGCTGCCCACGCATGCTGCCTGCCTTCTCACACATCTCACAGGGGCTTCTCATGCGAGGAAGTACCGCTGCCGGCTGTTCCAGGGTAGCATCCCAACAGCTTTGCAACCAGAGCTGAGATGGGATTTCATTTCCAGCAAGAAAGTTAAAATCTCAGTGAACTCCTATTGGCCGAGCTCAAGCCATGTGTCCTGGCCTTTGAACGAATTAGAGTATGGTTCTGTGATTGGCCGTCTGGATTGGATCACGTGCCACCTGCCCATGTGAGCAGTGAGAGCAGTTATCAGAACAGAGGGATGGGGGCAGAGATGGCAACACAGATATGGATTCTGGGGGCATCTCTGATGCCAGTGGTCACCCCCAATTTGGGTCCTCTCTAACTGATGACCCCAACCTCGGTTTCCTACTTGTCAACACATATATACTAATAAAAAGTTCCCTAGTGAGCTGTTGGTTTCATATTTTTGTCCCCTCCAGAGGGGTTCAGGTGGTTGTGTCTATAGATGGAGGGGTGGGCCGGTCCTCTTTGGCAAGCCACTTTATTCTTCAATGTACCTCAGCTGCCTTGTCTGCAAAATGGGGAGTAACTGAGCCTGCCTGACTTTCCCTACAGAACTGCATGAGGACCCACAAGCTAACAGATGCAAAAATTGCTCTAAAAAGAACAAAGTGCCATATTTACAAACACGGTATGTACTTACCGATTTATTATGCTCCTGTGTGTCCCAGAAAAGGATTTGAGGTAGTTCACCGAAATGCACGCCATACGCTGGGATAAAAATAAAGTGACAGAGCAAAGGGAAAACAAGAGGAGAAAAGTAAAACGAAGCCAGGGGAAATGCTAGCACAGGGAAACCTACACCCAAAATTCCCGAACAATTTCAGATGGGAGCTTCCTCATGAACAAAAGGGTGGGAAGCATCATCAGTTACAAAAGGCACTGAAGCCATAAGGTAAAAGCATATTGGCAGGCTTTGAAAGACCTCATAGCTTGTCTTGGCACTAATGCTTAATAAAAATGTCTTCTCATCAAGAAGATATTATATATATCAAGATGTTATCAATATGCTTATTCAACAATGTTTCGGTTCCTGTCCTTTTGTTTTCACAATGTCATCTGACATCTACTTCAGGATCTCCTGTGAATTCATCATCTATTTATGATTTGATTTAATTTAGCTAAAAACTGGATACTGATTAAATATCAAACAAAGCCATCCCTTTCTTCTCTTCTGCTTTCTTTTCTTTTTTATGGTAAAATGAGGTTGAGTTCGAGGAGCAGTACAGAAGTTCCCCAGTGAGGGATGGGACAAAAAGTTTGAGCATCCTGGCTAAGCTGAAACATAAAAATCACCAAGACATAAAACTGATCCAAGCAGGCCATAAAAACACTGCCTTTGCCTCAGAACCTGGACTATAATCTGCTGCCCTGGAACAAAATTCAAACATAAATCAGCTTCCACTGCATTTTTAACCACCTACAGAATTCTTCATTTCCTGCCCCAAATGTTTCTGACAGTGAATGATTCCATTCTTCCCCACTCTTGCTCTGAGAAGGTGCCCCTGGGGCAGCGGTGGGGGTCCGGGCCTGGCCCCACAGGTCAGTCAAGCCCAGGATGGGAGAAGGGTGGAAGAATTGACCCAAGGGTCTTCAGGACAGAGGCAGGGCTGTGGCCAGCCTGTGCAGTGCTTTTGTTGAAAAGGGAGCCTCGTAAAGCACAGGGAGCCCCTTGGGTTCCCACCTGGGGTGCTCTCTTCCCCATCTTTACCTAATCCAGTTTCGATCATTCTCCAGGACCCATCGCCTTGACAACACCCACAGCATTATCTTCTCTTCTGAGCTCCTAATTCATCAACAGTAAGTACCAGACAGTTGGCATTTAATTTTATGATGTCTGGTATTTACTTTTTCAGGTTGTCAGTCCGTCTCTCTAACTAGATTGAAGGTAATGATTGGTTCTTATTTTATATGTCTACCTTATAGCCAACAAAAGTGCCTATGTCTTTACAAATAACAAGGTCATTAAAGACAGCATTCAGGGGTGTCTAAGGTGTCTCGTCCTCCCCGCTGTGCCCATTTCACAGACAAGGAAATGGAAAGCCAAAAAGGAGGCTTGACCTGCCCAAGGTCACACAGTGAGAACCTGGCCCACCCAGGTATAAACGCAGCTCTCCAGTCTGTCAATGCATGCTTGATTTGCCTTCAATACTTCGCTCTAAAACTCCCAAATGGAAAGTTCAGAACTACAGCTCACTAAAGAACAAAGACAGATAGACAGACAGCTGGTCCACAGTAATCCGTCTGCATGTGGGCAGAATTTCCAGCACAAAGCCAGGCAAAGCTGCAGCGGGATCAGCAAACAGACCTTCAGGCAATCAAAGCTGGTCTTTGTATATACCAGGGGGATGAAGGACCTCAGCAGGTTACCTGGGGCTCTTGCAGCTTCACCGACACCACGGGGGTCAGCACTATCCATATGTCTGGGCACATGAAACCCGTGATTGATGGTCTCAGCAGGAAGGACAAGTAAAGGTGGAGATGGCATCTACTCTCTAGGAAGAGACACTTGTGTATTTTGGGGGCTGCCTTTTGCAGTGATCTACTTACCCTTGATAGCAGGAAACAACCCAGGTACTAACTCCTAACTCCTAACAACAGAAGCTTTACAATTGTGTCAAAGCTGATAGAAACCAATATCAAAACAATAATCAAAATACAAATGGCAACAGTTGTTAAGTGAAACCCAATCATGAAAAACTGGCAGCGGGAGCATCCATCCTGCTGACCCTCTCCTGGTTGCTAACAAGCCACAGCACTGACCACTTAATAATTCTCACAGTGGCCCTACAAGCCTGGCACCACCAGCTTCTTCTACAGATATGGAAACCTAGGCTCAGCTAACTTAAGTACCTTGACCCAAAACTACAGCTGCTAAGTGCCCAAGGTGAGGTTGGAATCCAGATCAATCTCATTCCAAAAGCCTCCCTCTCACATAACCCACTTAGGCTCTCATTCCAGTCCCATTTCAAGTGTTGGTCCCGTTATGAGAACCAGGAGACAGGTCTGGTTTGGAAAACCTGACCTTGGGGGAAGAAAGATGACAGCTTGCCCATTACTTCACAGGGAAATAAGGGAGAAAGTCCAGGCACCGACATGAAGCTCACCCAGTCTCCGTGGCTTTTTCATGGTGCCAAACGAATGCAAAAGGAGCCACTTCTAAAAGCACAGAGTGTTTTTCCTCCTCTTCTCACCTCGTCTGGGCCTGTGCCTGTGATAATTGGGAGGCACAAAGTCTGGTTTTTCTGGGATTGGAACCAATACTGTGAAGTGTTCCGACAATAAATGTTGCTGATTGACAGTTGCTGGACAACGTTCTTGAGTAAGTTTCTTCTGTGCTGGGTGTTAGGCTGAGACCTGCACTAAGGAACTGCTCAACAGCCTGCAGACTGTTCAGACAGAATTTGCTACACTTTTCCCCTGCTGGCCTCTGTCAGGTGGCCAGGGAGCTGATGTCTGAGGTCTCCTCCAGCTCCACCATTCAATGACTCTATCAAGACAAGAACAGGGATCTGAAAACATCTTTTCCCCAAACACTGAGTAGGGGTCATTATTCACACAAAGAAACAACAGGCTCCAATGGAGAGATAACTGGTCAGAAAACAAGGAGCTTCAATTTTGTTCTCATATTCTTTGACCCAATAATTCCGCTTACACAAATTTATCACAAAGAATTTAGAAAGACGGAGCTATATGTATGCAAAGATATATACTTTACCATTATTTGGAGATAACGTTCAATCCAAGATGGATGTTTCACATGGTGGCATATACCACCATCACAAATGATGATTGCAAAAACAGGGAAGTGTCTATGACGGTGTTTTACAAATTGCAGTTCAATATCCATTAATGGGTCATGAAATAAACTTAACACGTCTCCTGACACCAACTTTAAAAAAAAATAGGCTAGAATAGGAAATATCACAGTGCATCACAAGTGGTAAAGGTGTTTATCGGGAAATTTTAGTTTCAGTTATATGGGTAACTGGGCCGTGATACAGAACAACATTTTTTATCATGGGGTCACAGTGAAAACATTCCAAGTACCTGGGTCTACAGTGTATTGCACAATAGGATGACAACAGTATAAAATACTACGTATGAAAGGAAGCCTGGAGGGGAATATGCAGAAACACAGACGAGGAACTGGTGTTAAAACTGGTAGAATATAAAGGATGCTGCTTTAGATTTCCTGTGATGTTGGTGGACTGTTCTTACAATAAAACAAGTAAAATGAGTAAGAACACAAGGCAGAAAGAAGGAATAACATAAGCTCATTATCAGATCCCCAAAGGCTAAGGGACTCAGAGCAGGGTTTCCCGGAGCAGGAGCAGTGGCGCTTCAGGATGGGCTTTGAAGGCTGGGCAGGGTTTGAATGGGGGTCGGGTGGGGGGTGCAGGTTGGCCTCCAAGTGTGCAGGGTGGTCACTAAAGAGATGAAGGGCAATGAAGAAGAACACGGGGTGGGGGAAAAGGTTCTCAGTGCTGTAAAGTGGCTTTGAGTAAATAAGGAAAGGGGCCGCTCTCCTCCCAGGCGGGGCGTTATTTCTCCCAGGGCGTCTAGTGATCTATCCCGCCCCCCGCCCCAGGCTGAGGCTGCCCCTCAGAAACAAGGCCGCGCCACGCTGGCCCCGCCCGCAACGAGACGGCGACCACCAGTAACCCCGCCTCTCGCCGCCTTGTGGCCAATAAAGGAGAAGCACGACTGTTTGCACATGCGTGATGCCACCAATGGGAGCGTCCAATAACGACTGGGGGATCCGGCAAGTAACATGGCTAAAAAGAAGCGGGAGAATCTGGGCGTCGCTCTAGAGGTGAGAGGAGAAGTTGGAGTGGGCCACGTCGTTAGTGGCCTGCTTCCCGCGGCGGGGTCGTGGGTCAGCCCGGCTGCAGGCTGGGGGAGGGGCCTGAGGGAGGCAGTAAGAGGACGTGGGTTTGGAAGAGGGAAGCCAGGGTCGTGAGGGGCCCCGTGTACGTACCTGCAGGGGTACGAAGGTTGGAGAGCGCGAGGGGGCACCAGAGGTGGGAACCGGAGGTGAGGGGACCTCCAGAAGGGAAGAGACCTGGAAGTGAACGGGAGCCCCGAAAGAGGGCGGGACAAAGAAATAAGGAGGCCTGAAGGGAGACGTTAAATGAAGACTCTAAAAGGACGGGTAGTCGGAGGTTGAGGGGTTCCCCAGAGGTGTACAGACCTGTAGATGAAGGACCCCCAAAGGTTAGGAAGCCCATATTGTTTAGTGTATTAATAGTGGCTTAACTTTCCTTTGAGATGGGAAATTTTTCCTCTAGGGTGCTGCAGCTTGTAGCTTGAAAATTACTTTGGGAACCTGTGGGAATTTGTAGAGAATTGTGGAATGGTGATGTTCCCAAATTGCTTAAAAATAATTTACTGCCTATGGAAAGGAAAGAAAATTGATGCATATTGAGCAGGGACTATATGCTACTTTGTTTGCATTCTCAGTTAATCCTTAGTATAAACCCGTGAGATTTGTACAGGTGAGGAAACTGAGATCGCAAGTAGAGCGCAGATTGAAGCAGTGAAAGAGCTGAGAATCAAGCCAGGTGATTTGTCATCTAGTGCAGCTTTTTGGTCAGGGACCCATTTCCTGGGAGAAGGGGTGGGGTGGGGGGGGCGAGGGTGACAGGAGGCAGAGCTCTGGTGAGCTTCACTCCCCGCTGTGGATGGATGGGGCGGGGGTGTTAGGGGGGCTGGGTGACCGGAGGCTCTCACCGTGGTTCCTAAGAGCCCTGTTCTAGTGCATCTTGTTTCTGATGTGTTACAACCTCCTTAGATCACTTCCCAGAGGTTGCAAGAAACAGGGTAATAGTCTTGAGTTTACTGTCAGTTTAGTGCTTCTCAAATGTAAGGCTGCACTAAGAATCATTTGGAGAGCTTGTTACAATGGAGAGTTGTTGAATTCTCCCCCACCTGGAGTAATTTCATTAAGACTTGGGTGCGTATTTGGGGGTGGGGAGGGTGTATTTTTAACAAAGAATTTGTTGGGGGGATTCATTGATTTGAGAAAGAAAGGTAGCTACATCGATTAATGTTCCACTTATTTATGTTTTCATTGGTTGATTCTTCTTTGAGCTCTGACCATGTATCGAACCTGCAACCTTGGCATATTAGAACAATGCCCTAACCAAGCTACCTGGCCAGAGCCAAAGGATGTTTTTAAAAAATTGTATTGATTCATTTTAGAGAAAAAAAACATCAATTTGTTCCACTTATATACACATTCACTGGTTGATTCTTGTATCCTGTGCCCTGACTGGAGATGGAATCCATGACCTTGGCACATTGGGGCTATGCCCTAACTCACGGAGCTACCCGGCCATGGCGAGAGTTTGTGTTTTTAACAAGCTACACACATCATGCTGAAGCAGGAGGTTTTAGTAACACCCTCGAGAAATATCAGCCTACTTGGTAGGAAAAAAAGTTGATGGAAATAATAAATTTTCTGAAAGAATATAGATGGTAAAATGAGAAGGCACTATGTAGTGGGAAGAGCATAGACTTTATAGTCTGTGTTAGGACACAATAAGCTGCTGTAACAAACCTCAAAAGTCAGTGGCGTCAAGAACAAGAAAGTTGTGGGGGAGTTTCTAACATGCTAGAGCAGGGATGGGCAGGTGTCTGTAAAGGGTCAGATAGTAAATATTTAGTCTTTGTGGACCATATAGTCTCTTGTAACTACAGTTGATCCTCGTTATTCATGGAGTCTGTATTTGTGAACTTGTCCACTTGTCAAAATGTATTTGTAAAATCAATACCTGCGATGCTTTTGCAGTCATTCACAGACAAACCCAAAGCAGTAAAAAATTTGAGTCATCTGAGGCCCATGTATCCCGCTAAGGTTGAACAAGGCAGTCCTCTGCCTCCTAGTTTCACTTCTTATATGGAAAGCAAGTGTTCTTTTTGTGGTCTCTTTAGTACCACACTTTTTTGTAATTTTGAGCTTTTTGCTGGGGATTTTGCTGTTTAAAATGGCTCTCAAATGCAGTGCTGAAGTGCCGTCTAGTTTTCCAAGTACAGGGAAGCTTCCTGTGCCTTGCAGAGCGATTGCGTGTGTGCCTTTGTTCCGGTCTGAGTTATAGGGCTATTTGGCTGTGAGTTCAGTGTTAGTGAATCGAGAATATGTATTATATTAGGTCTTGTTAAACGCACAAAACAAGGTTTTGTATTGATCAGTTGATAATAATTTTGTGACCAGAGACTCACAGGAGCTTAACCTGGTTCAGTATTTGCTAATTCATTTTTGGTGGCAACTTTACAGAACATAACTACCACAAATAACACGAATCAACTATATTCAAGATAGGCTGTCTCAGCACAAAAGCAGCCATAGACAGTATGTAAATTAATGGGTGTGGCTGTGTTCCAGTAACACTTTATTTACAAAACAGATGATGGGCTGTATTTGGCCCACAGGCTAGAGTTTGCCAACCCCTGGTCTAGAGTCCTGGGACAGTAGTGGTTCTGCTGTATTTCTTCCATCATGTGGTTCTGCCTTCCCTTAGGATGTTATTGTCACCTCATGAATGAAACCAGGCTGAACCCCACCGATGTACCCACTGGCAGGGAAACAGAGAGTGGAGGGAGCACACCTAGTGTCTTAAGAGTCCTGGACCTAAAGTACCCACTTTTCATTGGCAAAGATGTGAGGTAAGAAGCAAGGCCTCACCTGTCTGCAGGGGGAGGCTGGAAAATGCATTCAGCTAGGAGGCCACATGCCCAAATGCAGCTTGATTGCAGGGAAGAAGGGGCTAGTGTGTCTTAGTGGACAGCCCACAGTCTGCACAGATTGCAGTTTACCTCGCAGTGTGGTTTTGAGGATTAAATGAGAATATTTAAAAAGCTTAACAGTGGCCTGGCGGTGTTATGATCAACAAACAGTGCTCTTATCAGCAGCCTTTGTGGTTCTTTTGCATCATTTTATCATGGCTAAGTCAACCCCCTTGTTTGGACTTCAGTTTCCTCATCTGGAACACAAAGGACTTTAACTTCACCATGGGCTATAGGCTCACATGGTCCCAATACAGATCACAGTTGTCTTTTGTTTGGCTGACACAGGCTTGAAAAGTGTTTTGAACTTGCTGGGACATATGTTCTAATACCGCTTTACACCAGTCACATTTGCCAATATACTTTTTACATATCAATACCAATATAGATATTTACATTTTCCATCTTGATCTCTAAGGTTACTTTTTGCTTGGGTATTCTAAAATTTGAGATCTGTAACTGTGCACTTTAGAAAAAGTTTGGCATCTGGCTGTCTCCTCACCTTGCTCCTCCGTTGCCCCAGAGGGTCTGAGTGTTGAACATGTACTGATGCTCAGTAGCAGTAGATACTGTCCTCATTGACAGTCGTGTGCTTAGAGCCAATGAAGTGATGATTTAATCAACAATGTTTGTTAATCTGAGAGACCAATAAAATCCCCACAGGTGAGTGAGCTCAGCACCTGCAAACCGTCTCCACATGTTGTAATGCAGCAATGGCCAAGCAGGCAGCACTCACCCCCGAGGGCTGGTGCGGGCCGGCAGTACTGGGCAGTTCCCTCCCAGGATGGCCACGACATCTCCTAGCCTCCCTGACTTGTGGCTTCTCTTAACACCTTTTTATCCAACTCATTTGCCACCTCATGAGATCTCAGAGTTGGAAAAAACTGGCTGTGAGTTTTAGCTTCTGAGAGTTAATTCTGAACAGCAAGAAAGAATTTCAACTCAGATGAGAAATCACCAGCGCTGGTACTGATTTTAATGTTGTGTGGGAAGAGGGAGAAGGTGTATTTCATTCTAAACTGATAGGTGGGTTCTGGCTGAGGGAAAGGTTGCATTTCAGTCTAAAGTGATAGGATTTTGGCTGGTGTAAAACCTGTTTATGTTTTGTTGTTTTTTTTTAAAGATTTTATTTATTTATTTTTAGGGAGGGAAGGGAGGGAGAGAGAGAGAGAGAGAGAGAGAGGGAGAGAGAGAGAAACATCAATGTGTGGTTGCTGGGGTTATGGCCTGCAACCCAGGAATGTACCCTGGCTGGGAATCGAACCTGGGACACTTTGGTTCCCAGCCCGCGCTCAATCCACTGAGCTACGCCAGCCAGGGCAAACCTGTTTATGTTTTTAAATCTCTGATAGTAACGAGCTGTTACTTGGTCATTGCGCTTTACTTTCAAAGCGGGACTGTTCAACTTGGTATCTTTAGATGTTTCAATAGCCTGATGTCTTAACAGATGTGCAGTGTCTTAGCTGCCATTTTAAAGGAGATATTTGGTTTGATCTATTTCCCAGTACAAAAATCTATCAGTTTGGAAAGCTTTTGGCTACATGTTACAGAAAACTGACCTTAGTTATCTAAACAAATAGAAGTATATTTTTTCCCATAACAGGAAATTTGGAGGTTGGTGGCTTTGGTTCAAAAGCTCAGCAATGTCAGGGCTGGTATTTCTGCGTTCTCTGAATTGTTTCCTCATAGTCACAATATAGCTGCCCAAGTTCCAGTCATCATATCTGATTTTAAGGATTTTATTTATTTATTTTTAGAAAGGGGGAGGGAGGGAGAAAGCGAGGGAAAGAAACATCTATGTGTGGTTGCCTCTCACAGACCCTGCAACCCAGGCATGTGCCCTGACTGGGAATTGAACTGGCAACCCTTTGGTTCTCAGGCTGGCACTCAGTCCACTAAGCCACACCAGCCAGGGCTCATATCCAACTTTAAATGAGGAAGAAGGAGAAAGGAACTATAACACTCTATGTTCCTTTTATAAGCAAAGCATAAGCCCTCCCAGGAATCTCCCAGCTGACTTCTGCACAT